ATTAAATCAATCTTATGGCCCCCCCCCCCCCCGCGGTTCGACTCCCCCCTGCGCGCGGTGAGCGGGACCACCAAGCAGCTGCAGCACACCAAGCATCTGCAGCGCCCAGCGCAGCAGCGGCAGCAGCAGCAGCAGCAGACCACCCAGCGGCGGCAGCAGCAGCAGCAGCATACCCAACGCCGCGGCAGCAGCAGCCGCAGCAGACCACCCAGCGCCAGCAGCAGCAGCAGCAGCAGACGACCCGGCGCCTGCAGAGCACCCAGCGCAGCAGCGCCCAGCGCAGCAGCGGCAGCAGCAGCACCAGCAGCAGCAGCACCAGCAGCAGACCACCGGAAGCCCGGCTAGCTTTCGTTCACCCCCTCTGGCCTCAAGTACAGTGTATACAGTTTCAGATGCTCTCTTTGCATAAGAAACACTGTGCCATCAACACCTTTGGCATGGCACCTTTCCTTGGTACCAGCTTTTTCCACTTCAACCTCAACGCGCTCAAGCTCCTGCTCCGCAAGCCTTCCTCGAACTTCCTTAGTGACAATTTATACGACAAACGTATACGCTTGTGTCTCGCGCTAACGCTTCTGGCTCACATTCCTTGTCTCAAACCCAAGTCCATTGCTTTCCCCACAGCAAGGCACGGAGACTTTGCTGGATCCGGCCTTTTTACGACACATTGCCCTGAAGCAGAAAGGAGACTGGATGTGCCTTGACGCCTTGAGACACTGATTTGGACAATAACTGCATATAACTGCAGAACAGTGTGGTTTTGCACGAGCTAAAGCGAAAGACGGGTGCAAGCGTAGAATCTTATAAGAGAATGTCCGTTCAGGGTGTCATTACGAAGCTTCTAGATGCATCTACCAATTGACTGTGACTGTGAGGCCTACTCTGTTGTCTCGGAACTCACGGTGTTGCCGCTCGTCACCAGAAAGCCTACCCAACCGAAGTGAGTTTCGAAGAGCTTCCCCCCATGACAACCCCCCCCAAAAAAGCACAAAATCTGCCAGCAGATCGTGGCACCCTTATGACGATTGATGTTGGCATTGCTCGACCTCCGCATTTGGAAGGCTGCACTGGGCACTACTAGTGGACCTGTGCATTTTCTCCTTGCGTTTTTGCTGCTACTTTCTGACCTGTTCGCGGGTGTTGGTGGAGCTGCTTCATTATGGTAGCCACGGCCTCAGAGGCCACGCTTTCTGTGAAGCTCGAGTCGTTCTGGCCTTCTCCTTCATTCAACTTCGTAAATGTGATTCGAAACGAGAACACAGGTCACCAGTGTCAGTACCTTCTCCTCCATGTTGTGCACAGTGGTACGGGTGGGGTTGCACAGTGGTGCGACTTCCCTTGGGTAAGGTGCCGTGCTTTTCATCATCCTGGCATTCTCCTGTGGAATTGGGGCTTTTGGATCCACGATCATGGATTTTGATAGTATTCCTTCAGGAGGGGCTTGCGATTGTACCGCCCTGCATCCATTGGCCATGTTAGCTTTTCCAGGAGCCCTCTCTTTGCTCAAGATTGTCATTGGCATGTTTGAACGGAACCGCTTTGCACCTTAGATGCCTTAGTGTATTCAAACCTTTTCCCATCAGAAGATCAGCTCACAGTCCAATCTCTGAGGAAGCTCTTCGGGAAATTCCTCAGATCTACACTGTTTTGGTCATCTTTATCATGTTGACCTTGGTCTTTTTGGGAAGCTTGCTGATTGCTCAGATTGCAGGCGTGGCTGACAGCTTGTAGCACTTATTTTCATCCAAAGATGCAGCCACAAACTATATAAATGGGAGATGGCGCAACAGCTTTTTAGCTTGCTTCGAGGAGCTTACCACAACTTCCTTGTAGACATGCAGAACTATGCGGTCCTTTTCCGCAGCGGGATCACTATCGACACGGTGCGGTCTGTCCGTCCGAAGAAGTGGGCCGCTTTTTTATCCAGCTTGGGCTTTGAGGAGCGCTGTGCCGGCTCAGCTGAGCACTGCAGGGCCATGGACCATCATGGACCATTTCTTGGCGGGGCATGACTTACTGCTTAGCAGTGGGATGCGGGAAACGGTTACAGGAAGCACTTTGGAGAAGTTGCTGATCAGAAGTCTCCAGCGCTACACGATTCCACCTTGTGGCCTCAACCCCTCCCATTCAACCCAAGCCATGATTGCACAGCATGGCCTGGCCCCTCTTGCAGTCTTTGTCCTTGGTAAACTGTGAACAAAGAGGAGGTGCTGCTCAGATGGTATTCATGCCATCTATGTTTCGTATGTTTGTTAATGACTCAGCCTCAGTGTAACTTAAGGGTTGGCGTTTGATCTTGGGAGGAGCGCATCGAGTTCAATGAAGGGGACGTGGGCTTGGCCGGTGGAATCCAAATTCTGGAGCCCGCAAACTTAAACCCTACCCTGGTGGAGTGGGGCCCTCAGAGAGCTTGGGGCATTCAGGGGTGCTCCTGGTGCGAGCGGAAGTCGCTGGATGTCGCTGGATGTAGCCATGTAGCCGATGCATGCCGATGTAGCTGTCCATCACATGAATCATTTGTGCTTCCGTTTTGGCAGGACGGTGCGTCGCTATGGAGGCTCCACATCGGTGGACACTCCATGGCCGGATGAGGACGCCTTGGACAGGTCGAGTCTGGAAGCTAGGCCGGTGCCCGGGGGGATGACGGTGACACCAGCACCGTGAAAGCACACAGTCAGATGCAGCACATGAGATGAGATGGACCAAGATGGTTGAGACTCATTGGCACATTTGATGGGTGTTTTCGAATTTGCAGAAGAATGCAACTTCCTACTCTCGTGGGCATTTGGGCAGGTTGAAGCACATAGAAAAGCTGCTGGTCAGGGCGACCAAGGCGATGACAGGCACTGCACTACCACCATAAGTGGCACTCGGTGTTTCAAGCTTTGAAGATGTGCTTTGACATCAATTTGACTGTCATTTGGTGGAAGCCATGGACGTTCGCAGGCGAAAAGAAGGTCGGAAGTGAGGACTCGCAAGGCGGATCAAGCGCTTCTTTTCTCGGTAGCTCCGCGGGGGCTGGTAGCAGCGCTAGCGCTGGCTGATGTGGCGAGAGATCGTGACACGAAATCGTCGCTCAAAGTGACGTGCCTTGTCGCAAGTGCATGTCACTGTGGGTCACAGCGAGAGCTTTGTCACACTCGCCGGCTTCAGATCGAAGCGTATGACATTTGTAACAAGGATAAGGGTGCTACCGCAGTATGTTTGCTTGGCCGGGCCACCATCTGCTTACATGATTCATTGCTCCAAACAAACAACACAAATGTCTATAGACACTGACTCATTTGATAGGATATTTGATATTTGTAGCGAGGTTGCCCTCGCAAGTGCTTGCATGTTGAGCATGTTGATGCGCAGCGCGTTCCAAATTCAACGAAGCATGCAGCCTCAGTGGCTTCCTAATGGAGAGGTCAGCCTGAGGCTTCCAACGAGTTGCTCAGTTCTTGCGAAGCAAGAGGCCGAGCAGCTGTTGGCCAGGCACCCACAAAAAGGTGGTGCATGGTCCGGTCCACTCATGTTGAGTCGTTTCATATGTGGCATGCAGTCACTCTTTTCATATTTGGTACATCTTGTGCGCATGAGCCCAATGGCATTGGGGGTGGGTCACCCCGTGGGTGTCTCCTTCCTGAGAATTTCACATTTCAAGGCGCATGGAGGAAGGCCCCACCCCCAGCTCTACCGCGCTAGCTTCAAGCAGAAAGGACAAAGAACCGAATTTTCTTGGATGTCATGGTATCTCGAGCCCAGTCAAATTGACATGATCTCGAAGAAGGCACCATGTGCTGTTTGACTCATTGACTTTGCTTTGTTTGGTGTGTTTGCTTGGTTCTGTTCCATCGACAGCTGCTCGCTCAGCGGCCACCCTTCCTTGGCTAGCCTGCGGACGCTCCGCCTACGCAGCTGGAGGAACATTGAATGTATGTAACAATGTAAGCTCTATCAATAGTCTTTGACCACTCAATGGAACTCTTAAGTTTAGAATAGTTCAGACCTGTTTTGTATGACCGGAACGCCTCTTCAAACTCACCAATAAACTGGTTTAAGATTAGACTAGCTATCCATGTACCCACTGCCATGGACAACTTGACCCTGGCTGCCTGTGCTGCCTTCCTCACCGCTGCTGCTGTGTTGGGCTCGATGGCTTGGCTCGGCCATGTGGTACAGTAGCCTGACAGAACGTCCCACGAGCAATGTAGCTGAGCTACTGGTGTTTCCTCCACAAGACTGCAATACCAAAAAGGAAGAGGACATAAGTCAGACTATGAAGTCGGATAGGTGTTATCGTAGAGTGAGATGGGGACATTTGGGAGCATCAATTGGGAGACCGTCAAATAGAGTGCTGTCCTCGAGTTGATTCATATTCCTCGACACGTCACACGTCCTCGAGTGAGGTTTAGGGGTTGCATGAGGGCACTCATCACGACCTCAGCTCGCTGAGTCGCTCGTGAAAGACTCAGGAAGAAGAGCTTGACGTCTCATCATGTGCCTCACAAGGTGCCGACCCAGCGAGCTGCAGAAGTTCATTTGTCATGATCATGAATGTGAGTTTGTCACTACAATTGTTGAAAGTGGCATGTTTGCTTCTTCTAGCTTACAGTTTTCCTTAGCCTTTTTATGTGGTTTGTTCGATATATTCTTTACTTGATTTTTTTGAAAATTATAACATCTGTTCTACTGGTTCAAACTCCTTCAAAAGTCCAGAGCTGCTTTTAAAGAACATTGGATATCATCGCTTTGAGAAATCATATGTTCTTTACATAAATTGGAAAATGACCATCCAAAATCTGTTTCCTTTTCAACCCTATTCAATTTCCCACATCCCAGATATCTTCAAATCTTGCCGTCCATTTTGAAAGACTTAGTAGAATCACTCTTTCAGATCAAGCAAACAAGTCTTCCATTTCTTTTAATTTGTGTTGTTGTGTTACATTTTTTGATCCTCTGTGGAATGTCAGCCTTCTGTGGCCTGTGCACCTTCTTGCTTGATACTTTAAACATTTTTAAGGGGGGTTAACATGAAATTGTATAAATGATTCTTACTAGTGGGCACGTCTAGGAATCATGTCTTTTAAAAAGTTGCACGCCCCAGGAATCATTAATAATGATTCTAGGGTATAGCCACAGTGGGTGCCCCTGATGGCACCATATATAAAATAATAATGCGTGGTTGCCACAATTAGTTTGCAGCCACTTTAGTTTAGCTGGTTGATAAATCACATCGGGATATCTTTTTGTTGCTTTTTTACAGAGGCGGCACGTAGCAAAAATCAGTAATTCTGCAAGGCAGCGCTAGCAAATCCGCTAGAAGAGCGCTAGGTTTGAATGCATTTCATTTGAGCAGCATCCCCGCCCAAAAAGAACTCCATTATTGAATTGCATAAGGGACTTGTTAATGGTTGCTCGTCGTGTCAGGTTTCAGAACACGCTGTTCTCTGGCTCCAAGCAGCTGAATTGGGAGACACACAAACGTTGCTGGGCAGGTTTGATTGGGGGCAGGGGCATTTTTCATGTGAGAAGATTCTGTTTTAGTGATACCATGCGATGCTCAAATTTAGATATATAGACAATAGAACTCTGAACCCCCATTGCAATGAAACTCTTGTACTTGTTTTGCATGTAATTATTGGAAATACTTGTCCATCAGGAGGTCCACTTGAATCAGTTGTTCAAGCTTATAACATCTTCCAACGGCGATGTGGTCGCTTTCCCTCAGCAAAGCACTGACCATGGAGGCAAACCATTGAAGCGAGATGCCAGGTGTGTTCTGGAAAATCTGTTTGTCCGCAGCTATTATTCAGCTCTACATAGCTCTACCACAACCTAATTTTGGTCAACTTTGATTCGCTCCTCTTGGCTCATCATTTCTGAAGGTTCCATTCATTGGGAAGAGGTGTTCGAAGAGACCAATGACCAAGCACCCAAAATGAGAGTTTTGATCATTTGTTCCACCACACGCCAGATCACGCCATGAATGCAACGCCCTATACTTCGCCAAGGCTCCGGCAAGAGGTGCAAATGCGTCCAGAACTCCGGGAAGCGTGCAATGCGAAGGGTGAGAAAACTCAGTGAAGTGAATGACAGGCCAGCTCTGCAGTGCAGGGAAGAAGAGCCTAGAGATGGAGGGAGACGATGAAACGGGTCTGAGGTGAGACTGCCTTGATTCTGGCAGCCCGCTTGGGACACTTGTCTGCCTGCAAGCTATTGGTCCCTTGGAACGCGGTTCAGGGAGACAAGGGAGGGGGTAGAGCAGAGAGCATGCTCCATTTTGGATGCTCGTAGTTTTGGACTCAGGTTTCCTTGCGCGCAGATGTCGAGGCCACAGACAGCAGCGGCGGCACTCCTTTGACTCATGCAGCGCATGGGAAGCATAAAGAAGTTTGCCAGCTGCTATTGGATCATGGCTGGGCACTCGGGAGTGTGATTCACTCACGGACAGTGTGCAGTACGCCTGTGTAGTCATGATCCGAGCTGGAGAGACGCCTTTTTTGGATATTATACGTATGGGCCGTATGGGTTTGTGTGTGTGTGTGTGTCTAAATTGGGGGACCTCCCAAAGACGCCTGGAAGAAGGGAAATAGACCGAAACCCATCGGTCCCCCTATCAAAATACGTCCACACACACACACACTGACACAGAGAGAGAGAGAGAGATCCACAAAGAAAGAAAGGGAGAAGCACATGAAGCTCGCTATACGCACTGCTCAAGAGTTGCATGCGTGAGGCGCCGACATTGAGGCCATTGACTGTGGTGTGGGCGGCCAAGCGCTGTAGGGCGGCTATCCATCAAAGACGGGCAGAGGAGATTGTCATTCAATTGGCCTGAGGTGAGAAGCACTGGTTGTTTCGTACAATGAGAGGAAAAGGAATGCGCGCCGAAGCCGGACATTTGCCGATTCAGAAACCAACCGAACAGGAAACTACGATTCAGAAACCAAAATAGCCGATTCAGAAACTACAATTTTAAAGAAAATGGACGATTCAGCAACCACGATTCAGAAACCAAGTCCGATTCAGGAACCAAATGAGCCGATTCAGAAACCAAATGGGCCGATTCAGAAACCAAGCGAGTCCCGATTCAGAAACCAAAACAGCCGATTCAGAAACCAAGTCGGACGATTCAGAAACCAAACCAGGCGATTCAGCAACTACGATTCAGAAACCAACACAGCCGATTCAGAAACCAAAACAGCGGATGCAGAAACCAAGTCAGACAATTCAGAAACCAAACCAGACGATGGCTGCAATGGGGTGGAGGGCAGGAGGAGTGTGGGGTGGGGGAGGAACCATGGCCAAGATAATAACGTCCGATGTGGTTACAAAGGGCTTTTACATTCATTCAAGTAAGAATTTAGAATATTCGGAAGTTTTTTGCATATGGCTGAATAGAGTGATGACCCAGATAATGACGTTCCATGTGGTTGCAAAGGGTTTAAGAATATGTCGATATGTACAGCCTATGGTTGGAAACAACGAGTTGGTTTCTGCATCGCAGTTTCCTGACCGTTGTATTTACAGCGGAGTATAGCACGCCGCCCCTAAAAGCGACGACATCTTCACGAACATTTGTAAGCCTGAAAGATGAAGATGAACTTGTTGAGGGTTTTGCCATGCTAGTTTGGCATGGTTCGACCAAAAAAAAGTTTGGTCTGTGTGCTTGTGACCACCAAGAGAGACACGCGCACAGTCTTGGTTGTGTTGTGATGAAATGCTACTACTACTACTACTACTACAACTACTACTAATACTAATATATACATATATATACTAATACTGCTACTGTACCACTACCACTCCCGCTGCCACTACTACTACCACTGCTACTACCACGACCACTACCCGGATCATCAGTTTCTTCTGTTGTTATATTGGTTTGGTTTCAGGGTTTTTAGTGGCTTTTGTTACCGAGTCAGCGGTTTTGGTTGCCAAATCAGCGGTTTTGGGTGCCGAGTCAGAGGGCTTTGGTTGCCGAATCAGCGGTTTTGGTTACCGAACCAGACGTCGACCGCAGAAGCCGGAGAGTGTTCCAAACTTTGCTATACACCAACTGGTCATCAATAACTTTTTTCTCAGCGGTTGTTTGACCGTGTGCAGTGGCTCAGCGGTTCACCCCTACAGTTTGCAGTTTGCACTTTTTTTCAGCAAAAGGTGGCAAGCGGCAAGAGAATGACAAACCTTCCAGCCACTTCACAAGGAAGCGGCATGCTTTGTAGCAAGGCTGATGCGTGTGTTTGTATTGTTTTGCATGATGTACAGTTAATATATCTATGTCTATATCAATCCAAGTAGTCCAACATGACCTACAGAGAGAGCACCTGGAAAGTGTGAGCTGTCATAGCGATGGCTGTCTCCAGCTTGCGCCACTTGCTCGCGGCGCCAGCTTGAGCCTCAAGATATTCCAAGCAGGTTCCTCTTTCGTTTGATGCTCTTGATTGAAGTCCAAAGCCAGCAGGTATCAGGTGTCAGTGAATCACAAAAAAACTTTGAAGTTAACTCCAACATTATCCACTCTGAGGTGCCCTTCACTCCAGGAGCGGAAAACCGGACATACCTTCTATCAGAAACGTGTGAGACTGTGACTTTGGCGGGTCAGTGATTTAGACAATTGTTACTTCTTCCACGTGTTTCTTCTACCTGTACTTGGAACGGCCTGAGACAAAAGCTGGGATTGGTACACATGGCTCACACGGATGATTAAGTTGTTTGTTGCCATGGTGGGTCCTGCCCTGACCCCTCGTAGCACCGCCCGGGCTTGCTCCGCCGACGTGGACAGGAAGACGGTGGCACCAACGCGCAACCGTTGGTAAGCTCAGTTGCTGAGCGGTATACTCTAGCACCCATGTCGAGGGGATGTTTGGCCACACCAAGCCATGTTTGATACTTTTTGCATACTAATAGATTATTTGGAGTCTTGGGCTTTAATTAATCAGGATAGTTTGGGTTCAAAGTGGCCTGTGAGAGCAACGAGCAACAGCACCTCCCAACGTTCGCGAAACCTCAAAAACGATCAAGTTCACAATGTTCTAAAAGCACGCTGCAGCAGCATCCAGATACATAGCCCGGTTCAAAGAGCCTCTCATGGCACGTTTTGGCCATGCAAGTCGCAGATGTGGACAGATTTTTGTGCAGTGGGGTGGTTCCCTGGGTGTGGGCTCAACAGAAGCCACTGCAGGTCAGTTGTTCCATCCTTTGTGGTTGCGCTTGAACGACCCCAGTCAGATCACCCGGAACCAGCAGCGTCTCTTTGAGATGTCCAGTATCATGGATCGAAGAAACAGCTGGGAGGTGACCGATCTGAAAAACGAACAGGAGCGACTCTCAGTGCAGTGGGGCGATGGTGCTCAGAGTTACTATCCTTGGCATTGGCTTGCAGAGCATGCAACCGCTGGCGCTGCAGAAGCTGCTGAAGCCAAGCAGCTGAAGCTGGAGGTTCCAAAGCATCTTTGGAATCAAAGCTTTCAAAGTACCTTGCCGCGGATGGAGTATGAAGCGCTATTGACCCGCAGCGGCAAGCTTCAGTTGTGCACATATTTGGAAAGGTATGGTTTGGCTTTTGTTAGTGGTTTGGGGGCTGCCGAGGGCACAGTGAAGAAGGTTGGAAACTACATTGGCCATGTGAGAGTCACAAACTATGGTGCCATCTTTGATGTCAAAGATGATGGTGCCAAGGCAACCAATCTCGCCTTCACAAATCAAAAGATCTCAGCCCACACCGACAACCCTTACCGAGACCCCTTCCCTGGAATACAAATGCTACATTGCCTCAGCTGCGCAGGGGAAGGTGGCGCTACCCTTTTCACCGATGGTTTTAGTGTGGCCCAAAAGCTCAAAAGCTTGGATCCCACTGCTTTCCATTTGCTTTCAAACATAGAACACCCATATGAATACAGGGATCCAGATGCAGCTGTCCTGTTACAAGCAAGCGTGCCCGTTATCAAGCTTTGCCAGGGTGAAATCGAAAGGATCACTTTCAACAACCGATCTGCAGCACCGATGGGGCCGGAGATGCCAGAGCTGGAACGCTACTACGAGGCGTGGGCTTTGTTCGATCGCATGGCCAACTCCATGGAGTTCACAGTCAAAGCGAACTTGTACCTTGGCAGCCGCATAGTCTCATTAGTATCGGGTAGTCTCATGCGCTGCGTGTCCCCATCAAGTGAAACGCCAAGAATGATCGCGCATGTTTCCGTGGCACTCCTGCACATGGTTCGATTCTCAGAATTCTCGCACTGTCCAAAGGTTGCCCCCTTACTGTCCAAGCTTTTTTGCCTTATGCCTCAGGTCTTGACCGCTTATGCCTCGCTTTACTCGCGTTTAATTCTTACGCCACACTTACACCTTAAGGTCCTAGGTCTTTGAGCAAGAGCATTTATATAACACTGCAAGTCCTTTTTCCATGACGCGGGGGCCTAGGGTGGCGGGCGCATATTTTTTGGACTTCCCTATTAGTGTGTTGGTGGCGGACCACGGCCGTTGCTGCACTTGGCAGGAAGCCTGGAGACTTAGCGATTTGGTCCAACGGCCGCGTGATGCACGGACGTGAGGGCTACGAACGCGGTGCTCCAAGGCATTTGCAAGGGGCCTACCTGGATTATGATGAGATCCAGTCCGCAGTTCGGGCCGCCCTAGCTGAAGGAAAAGACCTGGAAAGGTTCAGCATCCACCAGATCGAGTGAATGGTGAAAAGAAAGTGGATCCAGCAGCTTTGACAGTGTGGTCACTTGGATCGAGGAACCAGCGCGTTTCTTTTTCGATGAATGCTCCCGTGGATCAACGGACGTGCAACTTGAAACCCGAGCAGCAAGAGGACGTGATTTGTCTTGGGGGGGGGAGTGGGGGGAAGAAATGGACAAGGTCCAGCAGAGGAGGTGTTCAAAGACCTGCAGCCAACACCCCGAGCCACAGCGAGAGAGAGAGAGAGACAGACAGACAAGAGAGGGAGACCAGCGTCCCGCAGCGCTGCGAGAGAGTGTGGTCGCCTCCATAGCAGATGGCCTGTTACGGTTTAGTTATGGCCCGTTATGGCTCTAGACTATTTAAGGCTACTGGCTACCTTGCTCGAGCCGGTTGCCTCTCTATGCCCACACCACTTCCTGCCCAGTGGTGGCCAGGAACTGTACGTTGTTGGAAACTTCTTGCCTGGACCCAATGTCGCTGGCAAAGTGATCACTCTTCCGGATTGCCAAGGTGCTTGTGGTCTTCGCTGGCAGTTGGGTCAGAAGCTTGAGTGATCCCTCCATACATGCCCATAGGCCCATAGATTATCATGTACACATATATAGTATATACACATCTACTATTCCTTTCTAATAATGGGTTCGCTGCTTCGGGGTGAAGGAAGATACAGCATCACGCCCAGTTCCGTCCAGAAGATACGTAGATGATCGTAGATGGTTTTGCTGCATGCTGTATCCTAAGAAGGCTTTGATGATGCTGGTGCTACTTGCACAAAAGTTGTCCTACACTTATGCTCCGTCTGTGAGTCAGGTGTCCGCATTCCTCGGTTGGCATGCGTGCACAAATGCCGGCATGAAAGCACGGGCAACTCTTCTCAATAATTGCTGCTGGATGGCTGTGCATGTGAAATGTTGGATGTCGCTGCTGTCGCAGATACACTCAGGCGCCGCAGATTCAGCGCCGCTTTCTTGGAGACATGTGATCTCCTTAGGTGGCCTGAAGATCCGGGCTTGGGATACATTGAAGTCAGAGGAGGCCATCACTGGCATACTGCAGCCATCAGAGGCCACAGAAAACCCTTCTGCTTCTGGTGGCGGGTCTCCGACCGTCTCCGATTGTCTTCGGCCTTGAGGTTCGGCGAGGCCAAAGAAGAGTCCAGGGCTCCGTCCTTTGTTTGACGGGCCGCTGCTCTGCCGGCACGGTTTCTTTGGGGTGCCACAGCCGCATGCTCAGGCGGAGCCGCCTGTGGATGAAGTCTTTGAGGATGAGCCAGGCATGAACACCTACTGTAATTATTTGGAACATGTCATTGATACGTTTAGCTGCAGCCGCGAAGAGCGAGCGGCTAGTATAGCGGCGCAACCCAAGAGAAGTCATAATGAATCATATATAATAGATCTGTCACAATCACCTTGCTTTGCCTCAATCAGAATGCCATGCACACAGGACGTGGCGGCCCCTACGCACCAGCAGGCCAGAGCACATGGGAGGAGAATGGAGCAGATGTTGCATTCACCTTTCAGATCCTTTCAGCATTATTTTTTCAAGCTCATTTGGGACGCTCAAGTGTCTTTGTCATGGACATGGCCATTTCGGTCCGTGAAGCAAGGCCTCAAACCAGACTGGATCTAAGTTTAAGTGAGCACAAAAAGGCCTCCGTCTCCGCCTTTTTCAGCCTTGGAACTTGGCTTTAGACCATCCTCACTGTCCATGTCTGGCGGCCGATCCGCTCGACTTCAGTGTCGACACTGAGGTTTCGACACCCGGCGCATGCAGTTTGAGATCGATCGACCCTCAGAAAGGGTCATTTGGAATTCTTTTGATAGGAAAGGCTCATCACGCAACATCCGAAGGCGATCGGTCGAAGGCGTAGATGATTGGTCAAAGGATGTGGATGGTCGAAGGACGTATGTCCACCAGATCGTTTGCCTATCTTCGATGCCCAGATCGTGACCCTGGTGCGCCATAGTCCACCAGATTGAATGCCTGACCGGGCTGTCCACCAGATCGAATGCCTGACCGGGCTGGTCACATCAAAAGATGTGGTTGTCGGGTTCCGATTGTTCTTCAGGGATTTAGGACTGCTACCCACCAAGCAGGACACTGGAAACTCAGCCTCCTTCAATGTCTAATTCCACCCGGCGACTCACCACACTCCAATCCTCACATGGAGATCATCCTCACGATGTTCCACCAACATCCACCAACCAGGTTTGCTCGGCTGTGCCGCAAAGATTCCGCGCTTTGTTTAGCGATTCTGAGCTCAAACGGGGCAGCCGGGCAGCCTTGGGAGCGTGCCGGGCAGGCTGCTGTTTGGATGGACCTGTGGGAGTTTTTTCCCAAGGTCAAGACGACCAAAAGGGTCGTGTTTTACTCGGGGAGTGTGACGATAATATGGTACTTGATGCATATTCCGCTGGTGTACTACATGATTCACACCTTCGCCCACGAGAAGCAGCACACGATTGCTGTGAACAACTCGCCATTCCTGTTGCTGAATGTGGACGTTAACACCCTGCTAAGCAACTTGACTTTGATGGCGACCTCCAACACAACGCAAATTTGGGATCCTACGATCTCAATGTGGTGTGCAATGGCTGCTGCCGGCCCCTTTTCATGCAGAAACAGTACTGCAGAGATATACCAGGAGTGTGTAGCAAGGTGCTGTTTGGCAAGGCTTTGTCTTATTTCTGTTGACATGGTTTGATCATGTTTAATGACCAGCACCCTAAGCCCTTTTTGATCAGGTGAGCCTTCTGAATGAAGAGTGGCTTAAAGTTGTGGACATGCAGCTCCATAAGGCTTGCACACGAGCTTGCACCTGGTTGGATGCCATGGACTGCTTTCAGCCCACCGCGAACATCCTGCCAACCAGCAGCACCACTCTTGAAATGGTTACCTTTGGCTCCTTCAATGTTGGGGGTTTGTCTGCAGCAGGCAGTGTCAGTCAAGATGTATGGGCTCTATTGAATCCGCTGATGGGTGTGCTTCCTGTAGACATCACGTATTTCTTTGAGTTGACTGAGTCGGTTCCTTGGTTCTTTGGGCAAGACCCAGCATTGGCAGAGCGGAAGACCAATCTCGATGCGCATACCATTTTGGTGAATCAGAACAATCATGTGATGCGTTCCTTCCCACCCGGGCGCATTTCAGTGACACCCCAAGAGCTTTTGGCCTTGGCTGGCTGGGAGTGGAATCTAAAGACCTTACTCAATGGTGGTGAGTTTGGAGCGGTCGTCAATTGCTACAATGACAACCACGATTTGCCTCCACTCGTTTGGGCCAACTTCGAAGTGGTATACCCAGAAACGAGACTAGCACTGTGCTTACTCACAGTAGAGGAGCGTCGTGATGCCTCAGTCGTCAAAGTGGCAGATCCTTTCATCGGCTCGACTTTTATCAATGCCCATGTGCGCATTGACGCATATCGAGGGAATAGCTTTTTCCGGCTAGCGTCTTTGGCCCAACTGGTTGTGACCCTGATTTCATTCTTGGTTCTCCTGAATTTGTCTACCAACGTGGCCGTTTTTTTTGCCACCTACTGTTTGGGTCCTTTGTCCAAAATCTTCCGAAGAGCACATACCGAGAGCTTCTACATCATATACAAAATCCCTTCGCTGGGCCTTGCTTTGGCCGCCGACTTCTTGACCTTGTCCAAGCTCCAAGATGCAGCCGGAGTTAGCTCTTTCCGCTCCGCTTTGAGCCACGAGATGCAACGGATCCTGCAGACATTAGCACCCCACAAGCCGGAGATCGCCCCGGATTTCGCAAACCATATCTTCCAGAAGGTCTGTGACACTAACCATGCTGTGATGAGCCACTTGGGCAAGGAAGGCCAGGCCGAGCAGGTTTGTGCATACTTCGATCTCCATCGCAAACGTCACTTCTTGGAGTGGACAGTCCTCCCGGCTCAGCACCGTAGCAGCCTGCGAAGCCGAATCTCACGTGCCAGCTCCATGGCTTTGATGGAGGAGGACCTGCGCCTGCCCCAGCCCGGAACAGTGACGTCAAACATTCGTGAGGTGAAAGCAGAAGTGGACGCGCTGGCAGCAGAGAGTCAAGATGAGAAAGATGAGTGGATAGAGAAGCAGCGGGAAAAGATTCAGACCTTGCTGGAACAGCTGCAGAACGTTCAAGACCGCCTCCGAGCAAGAGATGCAGCCAGCAAGTCTTACGAGAAAGATGTGACGAGGCTGCTGAGGAAGAAGGACTCTTTGCAACGGAGGTGCAAGCAGGTCGAGAAGCAAAGGTCCAAGCTCGTAGAGGAGATTTGGGCATGGCGGCAGAGAGCTATCTATGACCCGAACTCCACGGACACGCCACCTCCGACCTTTGCTACATCTTCGTTCCCATTATCCATTTGAGTTTTTTGGATATCACACTCATCAAATCATTGACATATAGTTGAAATGCTGGCTCGCAACGTCGAGCACTGAGGGACTTCGTGCAAAATGGCATGGCCCTCTCAAACGGCAGAACGGCCAAGCCGTCCTCTCGTACAGACATGTTTGGCTCATGTCCGGAAAAGTATAGAAGATCGACATCATTTTCGATGTGGCCACACGCCACGCCACCTGCAGACGGCATGGGGGGCCACACACCACGCCACTGCAGGTAAGATATCCTCATCCGGCACTTCGACAAGAGAACGAAGACATCAAGACCTTCGCCCCAACCCTGGTGAGTGCATGGGGGAACAGCAGCTCATTTGCCATGGTTGACCCCGGTTTGAACACATGCATGCGGCATACGTACATTCAAAGTTCAAAATCATAATTCTCCTTTGCTATTTAAAGACGCTTGTGCATCGGACAATTTCCAGGATGCAAGCAGAGACACGGCCAGAGCCGAGGACAGGAGGCTACGGACTTTGGCTGACAACCTCTTTGCAACTCTTTATGCCACAGGCAGGGGCCAAATACCGAGGCGAGACAAGAGTATATTTTAATCGTGTACAGTCTGCAGGTCCAGCCCTTTGATTTCGGATTGATCGCTTTTGGACTCCGGCGACTAAGGTTTAATATGGTTCAATATCTACCCGACCTGAGCGAACCAATCAGAGTCCTCTACTGAGTTCGCGAATTCAGTGTTTCTGGATTAATTTCCAAATTCCTGAAAGGTGTACCAATCAAAAAACTTGGAAGATTAGTTCAGGAAAATGAACACAAACTGCTCTGACTCGAAAGGGGTCCAAATATTGAAGGACTCAGCAAACTGGGGGGGTGGCTGATTACTTACTTTCTGGCAGCTGCACAAGGAGAAATGAAACCAAGGGGTGACAGGAGTCAACCACTGTAATAAAGTGAGTTAATGATTTGGAAGGGGTGGACTCAACACTTAACTTTGTGAGGACGTATTCTTAATGTTGGATCCCTTCAAGCTGGGCACTCCAAATCTTTCAACAACGAGAGCGTGTGGATCCCTAGAAGCCCTTAGCAAGTGTTGAACTAGGGACACTTTCAGATACAGATGCAATACACACGATCAGTCTCATGCATAGCGCGGAGAAAAAAATAGAAAATATTAGAAAACTAAATCCAAAAATGGCGAACACTGCAGTGATCTACAGTGGTGTTCTTCCTTTGCCGCATGCCAATCGTGGGGATGTTATATGGAGGATTTCTGACTAGAGGTGCAAAATTATTCAACAAAAACGGGGTCAAGGTCCCCCAGAGTAGTACACACGACCCTATGACCCACTCAAACCACCTTCAATACTTGCCGTGTAAGCCCATTGATTCGCTCAGGTCCCCTATAAAATGA